CCCTGTGATTGGACATGTTCAAACAAATCTGACAAAAATGTCTTTTTTAGGGGGATGAAGGAAATTGCCAATGTTGGCGAGGGAAGAGGTAAGACTAAATCAACTTTAATCCTAAGGAGTCTATGACTCTATGATAAATACAGTATTACTATATGAGTAGTTTTTCCATAACTGAGATACACAGCTGGATTCATCCCTATGACAAAACAAGCTGGCCTATGATGAATTTACAAAGAAAGAAGACAGAAGATGTACCCTTCCCTGAGTCATAGCACAGGGCGATGCTGTCCTAGATTTGGGGAAATGTCTACAACCAAAATGTCTGAGGACTTCAGAACATGAACTAGTTTTGTTTTGGTCTCGTGGAGAAAAGTTAGTCAGTGGAAAAGAAAGTCATGGACAGGAAGGACAAAATTTATTAGCCCAGCTACTGTAAAATGTAGCAACACTTTTTGCAAAACTGTGTCATTACTGTACTAGTGTTGCCATCTCAGAAGTCTGTGAATCCCTGTCATTTAAAATGTTAATCACAACATAATGTTAATGTATGGACATCAAGGCTATGCTAGAGCTCTGGGTTCGTGTGCCCAAAAGACCTCATCACTTAGCATCAAGAAGGTTGTTCTGATGATGTTGCTGTTGCTACTTCTGCATTTCCTTCTTTGGAACCCTCTATGTAAAATCAAAGGCAAGGAAAAAAAGTAGCCATGCAATTTACCAGAGTACAGAAAAGCCAGGATCTGTTTAGTGACTGTATTCCCTGCAATTCACCCATCTGCTTTCCTTTTTTGAGAATGTGGTGGTAAAAAATAACTGGAAGTTCACATCACCAGTGTTTTCCACAAAGCCATTTCACATGGTCCCAACCCACAAAAGTGCCTCTACTCTGGCACATACATCACCCACCACACACACCCAAGATTAAAGTAAAAGACATGCCCAGGAATGCAAACCACACCAGCACTTGCTTCATGTTCTCAATGAGGTTAACTCAGAATGAAACACATGAAATAAGCTTGTGGAAATTTACATAGTGCTATGGCTTGGATGCAATTTGTCCCCAAGAGTTCATGTGTTCCAGGGTGGCGCTATTAAAAGGTAATGGAACTTTTAAGGGGTGGGGCCTAATAGGAGGCCACGAGGTCACTGGGGTGCTGTCTTCAGAAGAGAAAGGTAGTTACCGTAGACCCTGGTCAGTTCCCACCAGGGAGGATTTTTATAAAAAAGTAGGACTGCCTGGTTTCTGGTTCCTGTTTTCCCATGTGCTATCCCCATCTCACATACAAGTCCACTATGATGCCATCTTCCATGAGGTAACATAGCCAGAGAGGCCCACGCTAGAGCAGGTATTCTGTTGTCTGCACTTTAGGCCTTCAGGTTTTTCATTACAGCAAGCAAATGTGGACTTGTGCACAGAGTCTTTAAGTATCTCCCACAAAATGCTTTTATATCAGTCAGTTATTGCCGTGGCCCAAGCCTGAAGATGGTCCTTCGCCTCTTCCCTACTTCTTTTCTCCTCCATTGTAGACCCTGGATGGCACAGCCCCAGGAGACAGTTACATTATGTATCTTTCTTCCTTGTTACTTTCTGTGCATGCCCCGATCACAAGACAATCATGCTACATTCAGCCTAGGCCACATAGCACCGTTTACTCCACCTTCTCTTCCTATTTGTCTTATGCTAGAAATAAAGAGCATGCTGGACTCCAGGCAACCATTAGCTCCCCACAGGCTCTAGCTCCACCTGGTCCCAGTTTTCAAGCATAATCTTGGTGTTTTCACTTTTCCTCATCTCCCACAGCTCTCCCCAGCTTCAGACCTTGTGTGGGTCACAGCAAGTTATTAATTAAAAAGAGGAAAATAGTAATTTTAAAGAAGAGAAAGCTGAAGCCACCATCTTAACCATGTGATCAAAGTTAAAACCAAGATCCCATGCCACCAACATGACTTCAAGAGGAGGACATCCCTTCTCTGGTGTTCCTGCTAAAAGTGTTCTTAATGAATGTGGATCTAACTGGCCTCATACCTTTTGAAATATTTCTAACTCATTGTTTCCGTTTGTGTCTAGATGTCCCCCAAAAGCCGCATGTGGTCACAGGCTACTTCGGAGGTGGCTGAATCTAGAGTGTGTGATTGATTCATGGTGCAATACTAGGCCAGGGGGCACTAGGATGGAGGGCGTGAGTGCTACTCACCCTAGGTAGTCTGAATAAGTTAGACGGGGCAGAGAGATACTGTCAAGTTCTCTTGGTGCTTTTTACTGTCTTCCACAGTCATGAACTGTTTCTCCTCTGCTACCCTGCCTTGGAGCTACCCAATTATGGACTGAAAACTCTATGAACTGTAAGCCAAGCAAACCTTTCTGCTTTTAACTTTGGGTGTAGGGTATTTTGTCTCAGCAATGAGCAAAATAACTAAGACAGTCCTTCAAGAAGAAGAAGAAAAACTAAAGAAAAAGAAAAGCTGAAGGAAGAAGGACAGAGTAAACAGCACTGGGAAACATGACAACTACATGTGATCCAGGCCCAGAAAAGACACTACTGAAAACCATGAAAAGCCTGTAGATTAATGACAATACTGAGTCAATGTTACTATCCATATTGTTACTATTACACTTCTGATTATGGAAGAGAAAGTCTCTGTCTTTAATAAACATACAGTGAACCATTTACAGCTGAAGAAGCATTATACCTATAATTTGCACCCAAATGTTGAGAAAACATACACACATGTGAATGTGTATGAGTGTGAACCTGTGTCTGTATGTGTGTGTAGACAAGTAAAGAGAAAAAAATGATCAAGTAAGTGTGGCAAAATGTAAAACATATTTGATGAATCGGGGAAAAGTATCTAGGATTCTTTCTCACAGTATTGCAACTTCTCTGTAAATAAGAGGTTTTTTTATTATTTTAAAAAGAAAAACTAAGCTAGGTCAGTCTAAGCTTTGTGAGGAGGAACCTGGAAAAGGAAGAATGGAGAACGTCTGGTCTTCTCTGCTCCACTCATCCCTGGAACTGAGAAGCATCATGGTGTCCTCAGCTTCCCTGAAAGCTGTGGTGGGAAACCCTAACAGTGATGCCCTTAGAGAACCACTATTGCCCATGAATCCCCAGAGCCTGGCATAGGCCCTGGGAGGCACTCTGGACTCAAGAAATGGTCAGTGAACCAAGAGACTATAAAAAATACCTAGAAGAAACTGTAGGCAAACCCCATTTGTGGCAGGGCTGATAGCTTGTAGCCCTGGCTGAGTGAAACAGTGGGCAGAAGGCACCAGGACAGAGGGTACAATACAGTCCAACACAGGTATCTTCTTCCCTCAGAGGAAGGGACATGGAGCATGTACCCCTGTGCTGGCCTAAAATGACTCTGTTCCAGCCTCTGGACTGGGGAAAGAGGAGTGTACCTTCCAGGTACTATGTGCCCCAGAGTCCAAGGTCAAGGTCCCTGTTGGCTCATGCACAAGCCATTTCATGCACTGTGATATGAAGAAATGAAAAGCAAGGTTCCTGAGGTAACAATGAGAATTGAAATAGCTCCACATTCTGTCAATCCTTCATCAGGAAAATGTCTCATTACGTTCTGTTCTTACTTCCCAAAGCAACAAGTACTTCATTTTTCAAATTCACATTGACTTTGCACATGAAGTTGGAGGTCAAAATCATTGTAATTACCAAAGTTCAAGACAGTTGTTTAACAGATGAAAAATGTGGTTTTGCTTTGAAAATGTAACTAATTCAAGACTGTCCCAACACAAAACTTTTCCAGAAAAATTAAATTCTGAATTAGGATAAAGGGAAAAAAATAATACAATCTATAGGCCACTGAAGTGGAAGTATTAGGAGATGGTCTCTAATACCCATAGAAAATTAGGACCTAAAAGAAATGTGCTTTTTCTAACCACCAAGACACAATTTCACAATCATGAACACTGTGTCATAATATTCCACAGAAAAAGTAAACCATGCACAAAGGGCAAGAATCCAAATTGCAAACTTGATTTGCATAGTAATTCAAATAGGAGCCAAAGGAGTATAATTTTTGAGGAATTACTAGCTGAGGTTGCTATGCTGGTAGGGGTTTGTTTACCAATTTATTTGAAAATGAGCTCTTCTGGCAAACCCAAATCATAATGGGGGAGGGGGCAAAATACTGTAATCGATAAGGGATATGCCACGGGCAAAGAGGAACTGGAGCAAGTTGGCCCAGCAGCCTCTTCTTGCCACATCTGAAAGACCAATTAGATTTCCACTCCAAGTCAGTCCTCTGCTGCTTGTTAATTAATAAAGACAGATATTTAACTCAGCTTCCAATTCTTTGCCATCTGCTATTAGTAGTGTGTCCCTAATGGTCCTCAGTTCCCCATCTCTCATGTCACAGCTGTTTAATCTTGCTCAGCCTATACCTGTCATACATACTTCCTTCTAAGCTCTCCCAGGGGAATACTATCTGTACAACCTAAGAGGACTTACTGCAAGAAAGGTACTGGACGAGCCCCTGAGAGCAGGAGCTGCCTTCTACTCCTTGCAGGTTCCCCGTCCTGTCCTAGACATGGTCTAGTCCTGGGCTATCCAGCAATGCAATGTAGGGTCATGAGGATTCATGGTCAACTTAGGCCTGATTGAAGGGTTCTAGATGAAATCCTCCTTCTACAGAGCTCATAAATCTGTGTGCAAATAGGTAAACAGTACAGTGTTCTTCCTCCCATCATCCTTAGTCAGTCTATCTTCACAATCCCCTATCCCCTTGCATTTCTCCATAAGTAACCTGCACCCACGGCTACCCCTGGGCTGCTGTACAACTGAGACGATAGTGGCAGACCAGTAAAAATCAAGCCACTGCCTATTTTTGTCGGAGAAAGAAGCATGTACTCTGGACCTAAGGATAATATGACAGTTCTAGCCACCTGAGCATCACGTTGCTCATCAGCTCCTACCGTGTTATCACCAATGAAAAATGCAGAAGCTTTGTTTCTTGAGCTCCACCCAACTGGTTCTTCTTACCTTTGGTTCCATGGAAATGAAACTGTGGGTTCCTCTGCTGGAGAGAACTGACCTTTTGATCGTTCTGCTGTGGTGGAAGTGGTAGTAATCTTTCAGGGCCCCTATCTGCCAAGGCAAGGTGGGAGGGAAAACAAAAAGAAAGACCATTAATGTCTGAAAATTGTCTTGTATCTTCCTGTTTTTGATTAAAATAAGAAAACAAAACAAAAGAGGTCCGTAAATTATGCAGGTGCCTGCTGTGCTTAAATGTTACTTGAACCTTGGTGATCACTTTTCAGCGAAGGACATGTGATATGAAATAGAGTGTCCTTGAAGCAGTGACTGTGTAACTAAAGATTATAATGGGGCAGCTTAGCCTCTCCATAGCTCCCCTTTAATGTTTAATTTATATGCAGCATTTTAAGTAATTCTATATCAATCTATATCCAAATGTGGGAAAGAGGAAAAATAAATCAAATAGTTATCTGGTTATAAAAAAACACTGCAATTCGTTTGCTCTGAAAAAATGTGCAAGGAAGGACCTTGTTAGATTATTTATGTAGCTAATGTGAAGCACATCTTACACAGTTGATCATTCACAAAGATAACACTACTTAGTTTCCTGACTTTAATAGATGGTATAAGTGCACAGCCCTTCTTCATGTATTGCAAAACTAAAAGTGGAATGGCAGTTTCTAAAACAAAACAAATCTATCAGCTGAGCATCCTGTGTAAAAATCATTTGATCACTTTACCTTATCCTTTTCTTTAACATTTTAGTCTTCTCATTTAGGTTCTCTTTTGTTCTTAGTTAAAAATAGGTCTATTTAGGATGGTTTTGAAAATAAATCCCAGTTCATGTTGAAAAAATAAACGAACAAAATCTCATAAAAGACCATATTCTCTCAGCAGATTATAAAATATGGATCACAGAATGAAAAGTGAACCATACAATGAAGACAGGAGAGCTTGTTCTGGCTCCAGCTAATGCTCACCACAGCTAAACAGCATGTGTGCTGGCACTGCTTCCTTTGCTATAAAATTGGACACTGGGCCAGTTAATTTCTAAGACCGCTGCAGCACTCCTACTTCATTCTTTGACACTGAGTCTTTACTCGCTTTGGGAATAATTAATGGTTGATTCTCCAAAAGCACTCATAGGTCTGCCATGAAAGAGTGACCATCATGAGGATGTTTTCCAATTGGTGCAGTTCCAAAGTTGGGCTTTCTAAATTAAAGGGAAAAATTATTGGACCAGGTTCATTTCTTCCAGCTAGAATGTTTATTTCTATTTCTCTCCTTTTCATCACATTGTCAACTACCATCTCATCCAATGTTTGTGTCACTTAGAAATCATCTCTTCACTGGGACTTCAGGCCATGATTGAATGTTGGATCATCATTAAAATCTGAGAGAGTCTGAAGTCCTACATTTTGTATTTGAGTGAAAAATACTCTGACCTACACAGAAATCCTGGACTCTGAAAACAGGTGGGAAACAAGGGTGGAAAATCCCATTGGGAACCTCTAATCTCGGTGATCCTGGGTTCTGAGGGAGCAGCAAACAATGGGGAACAGGACACAGGTGCCAGCCTCAGCCTCCAGGAGGGTCAGGGAGGGACTTACTGCCAATTTTAAGATACCACAGGACTAAGGGTAGAACTCAAGTGTGGCTACATAATCGTTTACAAGAATATTTTAAAGGGCTGGGGATTTAGCTCAGTGGTTCCAGTGCCTGCCTCGCAAGCTCAAGGTCCTGAGTTCGATCCCCAGTACCAAAAAAAAAAAAGAAACAAGAATATCTTAAAACCCCAAAAGGGTTAGAGTTTTTATATCATATACTTTTTGTCAAGTGTTCCTTGGGTAAATATAATAGCTCTGGAAAGGAACATAGACTCTCTGAGGAAGAACCGTGCAGAAAATTGATCATCACCATTGCAAAAAATGCCAGTGTGTTCAATGTTACGACTGCTGAACTCCAACAGAACCTCTTTGACCTTGAGGAAATGAATTCAGCTCAACTATTTAACTTAGACTGTGCCTGGAATACATCCTGAAGACCTTTTCAGATCTTGTGTGGCCCCACTGGTACAAACTGGAATCCCAGTCTAATGCAATATATAAAGAGCTAGGAAAAGGAAGCTTCATCCTGACTTGATTTGAGACTTCTGATAAATCATTTAGCCTCTTCGGTTTTGGTTTCCGCAATGGTAAAGTGAGAAGGACACAGGAGATGTAGTGGCCAGAGAATGGATGTCAGAGCAAAGGAGGACACCAGTGTTTATGGGTTAGTGTTCTTAGGAGGTTTGAATGTAATCACATGTGAACAGACAGGTCAAGTCACCACCTGGCGTACAGTAACAGAAGGTTTGAGTTTCCTTCCTAAATTTAAATTTAACCCTACCTTCTCTCACTTCTTACCTTCTAATTAATCTTCCACTTCTATAACTTGCTCAAGATTTCTCTTTCTGCACAGGTATAATCTCTCACTTCCCCAATCTTACTGGCAAAAATCAAAAGCGTTGATGAAACATGAGAGTGCAGGATAATGTGTGACAACAGCAGTGCACACAAGACTGGTAAAAGCTGGGTGTGGTGGCACACATCTGTAATTCCAGCCCTCTGTGAGGCTCAGGCGGGAAGGCTGAAATTTCAAGCCCAACTGAGCAACTTAGTGACTGAGTGGGGCTGTATTTCCAAAAATGGAGGGTGGAGATGTAGTTCAATCCAAAGACCCTGGGCTAAATCCCTAGTATTGAAAACAAAAAAGGACTAATAAAAAGCATAACATGGGACAAGTATCTTAATAGACATTTGATTATATCAGTAATATTATAAACTGCACCAAACCTCTGAGTCAGCCTTCCTACTTCTAAATATGTATTCCCTGGAAGAGTCTTTATGTACGCACATGGATATGACAGCAACTTGGTAAAAGCAAAAGACTATGAACTACCAACTGCCATCAACAAGTAATTAATCCTATATGAATGAAAATGGATTGTACTCCAAATGATATGAGCAAAAAAATAAAGATGCAAAACATGTAATAATATGACCCAACTGCTGCAGAGAAAATAATGATTATACCTATGTTTATAGTTATACAGATGAAGGAGAAATTTTTCATTTTTTACGTGCACAGACTAAGTTTTGATTTAAAAAACTAACAATGAAAGAACACAAAGAAACTGCTAAAATAGCACACAAATGCACACACAGACAGGGCCACATATGCTCGCCCAAGGCCCCGTGACTGATACAGGGTCATATCCGTGCATCCTCCCAAATCTCTGCAGCTGTGAGCTCCAATGTATCTCTGTCTCTCACCATTTCTCTATCAAGTTGTGGAATGATGTCCACTTATTGGTTGATGCCTCGTTTATTAAACGTCTAGCATGTGTCACGCATCCTGTTACACTTCCACATGCTATCTATTTAACTTGATCCCCAAGAACCCTAGAAGATCAAGATCAGTAGCTGTACTCTGATAAAGGAGGACACTGAGCCTCTGAGAGACTATGAAAATGTACACAGTAGGACTGACTGGGAGGTGATGACATGTGAATCCTTGGTAAATGGTCACTCGCATCTTCGGGGGGCATCTTTCTGCATTGTACAGAAGGATCTAGACACGGCTATGACTATAGCAGACAGATGCAGGGAAAATCTGAGGCATGCTCTCGGAGCCATTCACATGTTTGGAGGCAATGGTGGCCAAGGCTTGAGCATCTGTTTCATCGCTCTCTGGCATCTTTTTGCACATCCTGTCTTGTTGGTAGGCTGGAAAGAGATGGTAGAAGAACTACTGTGGCAACACTGGGCAGCTTCCTCCTTCCTCAGTTTTCTGATTGTGGCAAAAGTAGCAGCTCTCATGGAGGCACTGGGTGGTATGGCTTCAAAAACCGTTTCAGAAAGCCTGGCCCATTAGAGAAATGCAAATCCAAACCACACTGAGATGACATCTCACCCCGGAAAGAATGGTCATCATCAAGAAATCAAACAATAACAAATGCTGGCGAGGCTGCAGGGTCCCAGGGTCAAAGAACCCTGCTACACTGTGGGCGGGAACTTAAACTAGTACAACTACTATGGAAATCAGAAGGGAGATTCCTCAAAAAACTCCAACTAGAAATTCTATTCGACCAGCTATTTATCTTCTAGGTATCTTTCCCCAAAGAGTTAAAGTCATAATATTACAGACACATGCACACCCATATTTATAGAAGCACAATTCATAACAGCTAAATCTTAGAAGTGGCCCATATGTCCATCAACAGATGAATGGATAAAGAAAATGTGGGATTTATACACAATGAAGTACTACTCTGCCACAAAGAAGGATAGGTTTGAGTCATCTGTAGGAAAATGGATGCACTTTGAGGCCATAATGTTACATGAAACACATGAGACACAGGCTTAGCTATCACATGGTTTCTCTCACATGAGAAACCTAGAGTAAAAATAAAGAGCAAAATAAAAAGTAGATAATAGGAAAAAATAGATCATAGGAAGTAGGAAAATCAATCTTCCTCAAAGGGCAAGGGGATCAAGAGATGGAGGGAGGAGGAACAGAGGAGGGCAGGAAGGGGTAAGCAATGAAAACAGGAAATGGGAGGTATTATGTCCACGAGCCAACCCCACAACAGGACTGTCAACAGCGTGTGTTGCAGACATGTAGAGAAAAACAAAAAAGAGGAGAGAAAGATGAGGGAAGGGGATAAAAAAGAAGAATTAGGATGTGTTATGTACGTGTACCAGCTCCCCACGAGGGATGTAATCATTATGTACTGCAAACATGGACTAATAAAAATTTTAAAAATCTAAAGAGAAAAAAAAACCTGGCTCCCTTGATTGATTTCATAAGCTATTTATCAGTCTCTGTTAGCCTCGTCAGATGGTTCAGTTCTCCAAGGGAGGCCCCTGGCTACCCAACACTGCAAGGCCTAATGCGCACAGCCCCGCACAACCCAGAGACCTCCGTGCTGTGTGTCCTGAGCCGTGGGCTGTAGGTACCAGTGAGCCAAGGCTGCCAGCCGACCCTCTCTGTCCACTCTCATCTTTGCACAGCCGCCTGCACCACCATCTCCCCTCAACTCTCTTTTTCACATAGCAGCTGGAAGATAT